TTGGGGTGGGCACGGCTGCCCAGTATCGCTTGGGTAATTGCACATAATTTTCTCTCTACTAGTGATTTGCATCAGATTTTTTTTTTTCCTAATTCTTTGCTATTTAAACCCCCTCCTCCCTTTCCCCCTCCCTTCCCCCCCCCCTCCCCCAAATCTCACCCTTTCCTCCCCCTCTTTTTTCCCCTCCCCTTCTCCTGGCCCAGCAAGACTCATTTTGAATGCTTATTATAAGGCACAGTGTCTCCAACAAAAAAAAAAAAAAAGAAAGAAAGGAAAAATTGGAAAGAAAAAAAAAAAATTGGAAAGAATAAAAAAAAAAAAAGAAGAAGAAGAACCAGACAGAAAGGATCCATGTCACTGCAGGAAGGAGCCAGACACTGCAGTGCCTGCTCCCCTCTCGCCAGCTAACATCGTGTCCTTCCCTATTGCCAGGTTTCCCCCCCCACAAAAAAAAAAAGGCTGCAGCTGGCTCTTCTCACATTCAGATCATCTCTAATCCCACCCCAGTGGGGCTGAGGAAAGCATTACCCTGGGCAGTGGGAAGAGCTGGGATGGTGTCGGGAAATACAACGCTTGGGTAGACTAAAGAGAACCTTGGGTTTAGAGTGAAAACGTGTGGTCAGAGCCTAACTTTGTGGCTTCAAGGCTCCCTCCAGGAATGGTGATAAACCTGAAGTTGTAAAGCCCAGTTCCAGAGTTTGGTTAGAAATCTTTGGTTTCCAGCCACAGCCACACTGACTGCGCTGGCTCTGTGGCTGTTACACTGGGAATGAATCTGCCCGTGGAGCAAAAAAAAGCCACTGAAAGCCCTCCGAAAATTAAAGCAACAAATACGAGATGATGAACAAGTTTCTCTTGGCTCTCAGCATTTCTGGAGCTGTCTTAATCGCTGGGCGATCCTGTGGGTTTGCTGAAAGATTCAAAGCTCTCAGAAATAACACGTGATGGAAGCATAGGGAGCGCCTGGCTCTTAACTCTGCCTTAATACATTCTCCAGATAGACAGCAGCCATTTGCAATAAACCAACCCTCTTTTGCTTTTGGACAATCCCTTGCAAGACCCCAACGTGCCACAAGTGAATGATGAGACACATTTGAAGACAGGCCTGGAGCTAAAACCTTCTAGAAGCAGAGATTTGAGGAGGTGAAGCAGTGAACAGAAGCCTTCTGAAGGCCAGAAGACATTCTAAGAGGCAGAAGAGATGTGCTAGAAGGAAAGTAGCTCAGAATACAATAAAACACAATAATTATTTGCCATTTAAAAAGTACCCAGGGAATCTCCCATCATCACAGAGGCCTTTAATTTTCTCTTTACATTGATTTGTAAGGTACTCATCAACTCAATTTCCTCCCACTTCCCATACTTTATAGAACCACAGAATTGTTAAGGCTGGAAAAGACCAGTAAGATCATGTAGTCCAACCATCAGTTCATCACTACCATGCCTGCTAAACTACATCCCTCAAAAACCATCCTGAAAGACCATCAGGGAAATGCTCAACTGGACTCAACTGGGCTCATCCTGAGTTTACCATCACACTGATGATGATAAACCTTGTGATGAGCCTCACACCAGCCACAGTGAGAGGTGATTCTCAGATAGCAAAGGTCTGAACTTCAGCAGATATGAATGCAAAATGTGATGCAGCACATGTCTAAGGATGTCCTGGTACCTGGCACTGCAGTAATTCAGGTTGATAGGTGTTCCCAGACAGATGGGAAATCATTTGTGGGATGAAGATGAGTTGGAAGTGTTTAAGAGGGATTTATGAAATACCTTGAGGAGATGGGGACCTCGCTGTGATCTTCTCCACTCTCCAGAGCAGCTTTCTGACAATCCGTGACTGCTGCAGCCCCTGGCAGATGTGGGGGGACACATCTGGCTGCAGCTGGCCTGCTTTGATGCTTGCTTTTTGAAACACTCAGAGCAAGATCTTTCCTACCTGTCCCAGCACAGAGCTATCCCAAATAACTGCTTGGGCTACCCTGAGGACTTCCAGGAAGGTCTGGGATGGAGAATGGCATGTGGGATCATGCTAATTAGTGGTTTAATTGTGTGGGACTTTTTGCACAACTGAGGCAGTATTCTTACATCATAGAATCACTGAGGTTGGAAGAGACCGCTGTAATCTAAACCAGCTGAGCAACCCATCACCACCATGCCTCACCACTCACAGAATCATTAAGGTTGGAAAAGACCTCCAAGATCATCTAGTCCAACCATCAACTCATCACCGCCGTGATGAGTTAAACCATGTCCCTCAAACATCTCCTAGGATGAGGGAGCTGAAGACCAAACTACTCAGGTCTGGAACAGAGGCACAATGACTTCTAAACTGGATCAACTGGATGTCCCTGCTGGGAAACGCCGTACAGATCCAGGAGCAGAGCAGGGATGAGGCACAAAGCTGTGGGCTGGAAAACAAGCAAGAAACGTGGCCATTTCCCATGTGAAGTCTGGGTAAAACTCAGCAATGTCTGCCCTTTGTGTCAGGAGGGGAGGACCGAGCGTGGGGGGGACCAAGCCTGCAGAGGCCAAATGTAATCCCCTTTTCTCTGTTGTGGGAATGGAAATGCCATGCTTCTCCTCTTGAATTTCAGCTGCCAGCACCGGGTCCGTCTGGTGGATTCTGGCTGGGACACCCAATCCCAGGGTAACTGGATAGCATGCTGAGCAAATGTTGGGAGCTCCGAGCTGGCAGCCCCCACCGCCTTGTCTAAACTGCAAAGAAATCTCCCTCCTGCTGCTGCTGAGGGATGAAACCAGAGAACTGTCTGTTTGCAGCTCAGACAAACTGCCATCATTTTAAGTTTGCTGGTTGTTGGTGGGTTGTTTTTTTGTTTTGTTTTGTTTTTCTGTTGTTTTTTTTTTTTTTTCCTACTTCTTAAATTCCCTCCTTCCCTGCAGTTGGTGTTTAGCCCTGGAGATGTCACAGGGAGCAGCACAGGAGGATGGGAGCATTGAGGTTTTACCTGTAATTCAGACAAATGGCTGATATGTGTTCGTATAACTTGTGCAAAGCATTCTCTATCCTCTATTTACACACCTCGCTGTGTAAAAAAGGACACTTCTAACAGCTCTTGCTCAAGAGGGTAAGAGCATTTCTCACATCCCTCCACTAGGAACAGCAGAGAGCTTAGGAAAGCAGTGAGTTGGCAAGATCAGTAAACAGAAAGCAGTCATAAAATAACCTGGGTTAGCCTTACCAGGCACAAAAGAAATAGAAGAATTTATATGCTGATATCTTGGCCCTCACATGATTAGAAGCATTAGGAAAATGGGAATCTCCCCTTCTTGGGGGTGCAAAGCTCTCTTTTCTTCAGGACTGCAAGATAATGTATCCTCTCTTTCCCATACAAAGGGCTTATTGGCTCAGCCCCTATCTTCCCCTACCCTGAGCCTGGGGGCAGGGTAATTTGGGATAGGGATAAGCACAGAAAAAGCATTGGTATGGTCATTTCCATGAGCCTCTGATTGAGCGAGGGGGACCAGTAAGTAAATGATGAAGGTACAGAAATGGAAATTGCATGATGGACTTGGATACGTCTAGTGGTTGTGCAGCTTGTCACGTGGATCTCACCCCCAACTTATTTCGGTGCTAAATTACACTTGTGAGAATAGGAATTAATCGTGTGCCCTGGACTACCTAACCTGCCTTTGAATCCCATACTGTATGCTCATCTCCCAAGCCTAGTACTATTAGAAACCCCTTGTCAGAAAGATGTCTCCTTATTTCCCCCACAGAATCACACTGTTTGTGGCAATATTCAGCCCCACGCCAGTCACACTTCTACATTTTCTACCTTATGACCATTCCAAGATAGAAGTGGGATTTTTATACTGTTTCAGAGGAGCTGCAAGATTTCCCTCTTTCCATTGACACTCTATGTTTGTTTTCACACTTGAGAAATCACAAGCTATTGGACCTTAAAATCTATCTACCTCTGTGATGTCCCCGTTTATTGGATCCCTCTCTAAACAGTTGTAGCCTTTTCATTTCAGATGCCTACCTAATTTCTCCCCGTAGTTTCAGATTATTTTGTGCTTCCTGTCCTAAATAGTGTTACTGGCCATTCTGAAACCACGGTTGCAGGGCACTTCATGAGTCTCCATGTCTCACAACTGACTGAGAGCAAAAGTGAAAGACATTTGGCACCCCCCAGGACAGCAGGCACTGCATAAATGCGAGTCATTGCCGTTGATGCTCAGCGTATGGTACGTGCTTTATTGCACTTAAAAGGAAACATGCATTTGGAAAAAATAGATTGTGGTGAGTAAACCAAAGACCTCTGCCTACTGAGGTAACAAAAAATTGGAACTTTTATCCATAATGGTGATAGAGATGGATCAGGTAGGGGGTGCATTCTCAGCTGGTGCAAATCCTGCCATCTCCACTGACTTCTGCAGGGCTCACTGGCCAAGAACAGGACCGCATCCTGTGGCACACACATAGCCCAAGCCCTTCTCTCTGCTCTCTCCAGACCCGCTGCTGATGGAGGACTTAACCTCCACACTGCTGAGGCTTGTTTCTCTGCTATACACAGCGTGCAATGCCATGCATGCAATTGGAAGAAACAGGACAGAGCCAGGTGACAACCTTTGGAAGGCAGCTTGGACAAGGCAGGGCTCTGTTTGGATCTTTGGCAAGGTAAAAAGTAACTGAGTAAAGTAATTTCTCCCCTAGAAATCCTTCTGGAGCACTGAGAAGGCAAGCACAATGCTCTAAGTCCTGATGTCTGCAGTGTGATGTCCTGAATGTGGTAACTAACAGGATGCAAATGCTCTGGCAGTTCAGTGCTGAGCTCAGGATCGAGATACTGCTGATAAACAAATTAACTAATTGCTTTAACTAGGCCGCCTCCAAGAACTCATGACAATAACAATAACTCCCTTGTTAACTATAATTCATTGTGATAGCCTGAAGCCTGCCCTGCTCTCAGAGGATCTGGACCAGCCAAATGCTCTCAGCCAAAGAAAAAGAATGGAAGCGGGTCACATACCTGTGGAGAGAGGCCATTGCTAACAGGATTCATGTGGTTGGCAGGAGCTGCAGCATTCATGAAGCTGTCTGAGTAGCTGGAGAAGCTGTGTCGGGCCCCATAGGCAGAGCTGGAGTCGGCTGCAGCGGCAGCAGCGAGCCCTCCCTGATGCATGGTGGATGGTGGCAAGGGCTGGGGTCTGTGCACGGTGCTGCCTCCATCTGCAAAGAGGTGGTGATAAAATCACAGGATGGCTTGGGTTGGAAGTGACCCTAAATCCCATCTGGTTCCAACCCCCTGCTATGGGCAGGGTTGCCACCTACTAAGCCAGGGTTGCCCAGGGCCACATCCAGCTTGGCCCATGTTGTTTGCTTTGGACTGATGGAGTCTTCACCTCAAAGCTGAGCGGAACAGATGTGAGACACACTGGTGTAGCAGAAAGGACAATGAGACAGTGAGGAGAGGAGAAAGCGGAGTTTCCACTGATGTGAGCCAAAAGCTGGTCTTCACAACAAAGGAAAACCACCTACCTGTTACAGAGGTCTAAGAGGAATGTCACATAACAGAAATGACTGATGGGATGTTGCAGGGCAAAGCAGAGAAGGAATGGTCAATGGGATGATGTAGGCAAACTAGAGAAGGAATGGCCAACAGGGTGATGTAGGGCAGAGCAGAGAAGGGATGGGCAATGGGATGACGTAGGGCAAACCAAGGAAAGAATGGCCAACAGGGTGATAGAGGTCAAGAGGAGAGGAGCAGAGCGGGCAAATGAGTGCTTACCTTGGGAAATGGTGGTGGTTGGGTAGGTGGAGTCTGGCAGCTGGTACGGGGGCAGAGTTGGCATGCCTGTGGGTGGGAAGCCCCCTGGCAGCAGATGGTTGAATGCTGCGAGTTGGTTGGCACCCGCCTGCTTGCGCCATCTCGCTCGTCGGTTGCTGAACCACACCTGGGACAAGGACAGAAAAGATTATGTGTGACTGGCCAAAAATAAACTCAAGTTGGATGATGTCTTGATAACGCATCCAACGGCAATCTGAGATACAGCACTGGCCAAAGATAGGTTCAAGTTGCAGCCTGGCATTGACTTGTCCCCATTCTTTACTCTCCTCTCTCTCAAATTACAGCACTACCACTGCCCTGTCTCCTGGGTAAAGATACATGCATTTAATATTGTGAAAGATATCATTAAGAGCAAGGGAGGCTTCTATCAGCAGTAGGGTGAGAAGAAGAGGAATAATTCAGCTTGTGTATTCCGAGACAGTCCATACCAAATAGATGCATTGCTACCACCTGGCCATTCTGCCTCGTTATCTGACAACTATGTGAATTATGCTGAAGGATTAAGTACCATAATAGCAACACGGCTGCACTGTTAGGAGGGATAAATAGACAGATTAGCATCATGGTTTCTATGTTAGACAAGCTAAATAGATACAACCAGACCGGAGGGAATACAAGGGTTTTCTTAGCTCCTCTGTACTGCAGCAAATCACTGTTGTCTGTATGCTAAGACATGCTCTCCTTGCAAGAGGCATTGCAGTGTGCTCTAGCATTGTACTGCAGCCAATTTAAATCTCTATGCATTAAAACAGACGCAGTATTAATGCAAAGTGCAAAGCTGGGCTCGTGTTTCCTACGGTGCTAGTTTACCTGTAAGACACAAGGGGAGATTTTGCTAAATTCATGTCTGCACTGATGTGTTTTATCATGGGCAATCTCCCTTCTGGAGAGTGGGTAGTGCTTCTCAGGCTGTCTCTTGGGCTTGGTTTACTTTATTTAATCAGAGAGGCTCTCAGGACCGATCCCTGTTTGGGGTTCAGAAGTATGCGGATAAGCTTTCAAGCCAGATGAGAATGCAGCTGCTGGACTTTGTGAGGCCTAAAGGGCTAGGAAACACGATTAAATTTCACAGCAACATGAAAAAAATGGAGCAAAAATCAAGAGTGTAAAGCATTCGGGGGAAAAAAATCCTCCATCAGGCTTCCAAGCTGCTCAAGTGAGGTCAGAAGCTGGGGTTACGAGGGGCTGAGGCACTGCCATCCAAACTGCCCCCACGTCTTGTGAACCAAAACAAAACTCTCTCCCTTCAATATAATGGAATCTGAGTCCAATGCTCCCTTCCCTCTTTGGAGCAGCTCTCTGAAATGCATGCAGTGCTGATGTCAGGTCCTTGGCACCCAACGTGCCTCTTTACAGACCTGTCCCTACTGCGCTGCCTGGAGCGGCGTAACCTCCCAGCACCTTCCAAAAGCGTGACAGAAATAGGTCAGCACACATCCGATCTGCATTGATCCACAGAGTCCATGCAGGTCGGAATCTCTGTGTTCATTTTTGGCACCAGAAGTCGCTAGCAAAATCTAGGACAGAGTTGAGGAGAGAGAAATGAATGAGCATCAAGGCCTGTAGCGCTTTCGAGTTCTTTTTATCCAGTCCAACCCACGACACAGTTTCTAGGAGCAGTGAGCTGCACAAATAAATAACCTTTTGTTTGCATGGTCCTAAGAAGTGGATGGTCCTGCCCTTTTCTCTCGCACACAGGTATGTGTTAATTCCTGCTCGTTAAGGATACACTGCTTGGCTAATCCTCTCCTCTTCCACATTTAAGGCCACTGGAATTGGAAGGGACCCTCGAGGCCATCTGGGCCAACTCCATTGCAATGAACACCCACAGCTCCATCAGTGCTCAGAGCCCCTCCAGCCTGACCTTGGGTATCTTCACCATCTAAATGGGCAACCTCAGTGCCTCACCACCCTCAGTGTAGTCCAGGAATGTCAAAACTTTGGGGAGATTTGGGCCATGTTCCATTACATCACATGAAGTTAATGCTGCCTGTGCGCCAGCACACCTATTCACACAAAGGTAAAATGCAGAGATGTGTACAGCTTCTCTTATTTTGCTTCTCCAAAGCAAAGGATTTACTTCATATTTATTTCATATTTATTTGATCGTGAAGGGAGATGATTGACCAGATCCTTCTACAGCACATGGGCCAGAAAGGCCTTTTCAGGGGTCATCCTTGGGATGCCCTTAAGCTTACAATGCACATGGGCTTGGGAAGGAAGGAAAGCTATTTTCATGGCTTTGGACTACAGCTAAAGAAAAATTTGGTTCCTAATTATGCTACAAACTCCACCTGTGACTTTGGAAAAGCTTTGCCTTTCCAATTTGAAGTCAGAAACATTTAAGAAGGTTTGGTCCTTATGCATCAGGTCATCACTTCTAAAGTGAGGATAAACCCCATGAATCATAGAACCATTTAGGTTGGAAAGACTACTAAGATAATCTAGTCCAACCATCAGCCCATTTTTCTCACATTTTAGTTTATTTCAGCAGCCAACCACCTAAGATAGGGGCTGTAATTAACTCCTAGTATGCAGCATCCCCAGCAAGGTGGAAGCTCTGTCTCAGCTGGAGCATCGCAGCAAATAATAAAGAATAATGATAGTAAACACGCATGCAAGCAAATGAGATTCATAACTACACGCTGAAGTGTAGTGCTTCCCAGTAGAGCCTGGATTCTCCAGCCACAAATACACTGAAACCTTCCACAAAGAAATTGATAGGATTTATCTTCCCGTGCAGAGGAAGGGACATTTCATGGCCCAAACAGGTTGATTCTGCCCCTTATTTATAACCCCCAGAAAAAAGGCAGATACATTCCAGCTAATGACGTTAGCAATTCTTTCCCTTCCCCCGCCTTAAAGGTGGCTCAGGCCTTTATGCTTATAAATCATTTTATTGGTAGTTAAAATACAGAGGCTAGAGCATCTAACTGTAACGCGAGGCGCACTTCAAAGGGAACCTGCTTTCATTGCACAACAGTTAAGGTTTTATCAGCCACTAAAGATTCCCCCTGCCAGAGGATCCTGTTACACCATGGTAAGCCTGGGGTGAAGGCTATGGCTGCTAAAAGCAGACTGGTGGGAAGGAGCTGAGGAAGAGGAAGAAGTTTTGGCACTGCTGGAACAAAACTGCACGGCCAAAGTTTTGTGCTGGGACAAATGCATTGAAATGAGCAAGGACACCCACAGCCCCATCATTGCACCATGGGCTACACTTGCACAGCAAGCAAGGATGCTGCTCTGAGGCCCGTGATCACACCTCTCTATTGCAGAGCATCTCCTCCAGCATCCCCTACACAGATGGCAGAGGAAGGCACAGCGAAGCTAAGAAACCTCTCCAATCCCTCACTGACAGCTGATTTTGGAAGAGCCCATCCTCCCCACCAACCTGGGTTTGGGGCAAAGGTTAGCACTGGTTCTTATTTAACCCAAATGCCAGCCCTTCTGAGATGTCCCAGGCACTTGTTCTCAAGCAGAGAACAGCAGAGAAGGGTTGCAGAGACAGCTGCCTGCCAGGATGGGGCTGGACTGAATTATCCCCGCAGCCACTGAGATATGGGTCAGCTCCCACAATTTGTCAGACAAGGAGAGGAAAGGAAGGTCAAAAAGAGCCTCCTGTGGGAAAGAAAGCCTGTTGTTTCCCTGCTCGGCCTAATCAGGATTTGATGTTGGAGAAAGATGGATGGGATAAATGAGCTCATAAATGGAAACAGGGATGGAAAAGCCAAGGCGTGCCTTTGCTCTGCAGCAGGATGGAAGAGATGCACCATATGTTGCAGAAACCAGGTGGCAAAGAATCTCAAAACCCAGGCACTCAAACTCCACCAAAATCAGATGAGGTCCCTCCACAGGTTACGTGGAGGCTTTGCAGATTGGGTTTTCTTCCAAACCAGGACAGAGCCTCGCCTGGTCTACACCAGTCCTAAGCATCAGGGACACATGAGCATCATTGAGGCAGCTGAGATAATTCCTTACAGAACAGAGGGGATACAGGCTCACAACAAGGCACAGATTTTAGGCACACAGGTTTTATCCATGCATGCAGGGACACAGCTGTATCTAGTGACACTTTGGTTCAGTGCCCAAAATGCTGAGCCTCTGTCACTGGTGGGTGATACAGTTAAGACAAGGTTAGTGGAGCAGAACAAATGATTCTTCACAAATGAGATTATCCAACGAATTTAGCCCATATTTCTCCTGGCACTTCCCTGCTCCTGAAGGTATTGGCTATTTGTAACATTCTTCTGAAGAGTTTGAACCATTTCTGGCACGTGGATTTATTATTATTATTTTGCAAACCACTTTTGATGAAACCAACCATCTTTGGCAGTAAGATGTTTGATTACGGCTTCACATCTCCAAACCCAACCCTCCGCACCAACACAGTTTCACACCATGCAGTTTCAAAGCCAGAACCACTTTGGTCCACCTTTCTTGGGCTGGAAATTTGGTGATAAAGGTTCTTCTCATGAAACTTCTCGGAGGCACTGTTTGTTTTTCACACAATGGGACAGACACTGCGCTGCTATAAATCAGTGCGACTGCACCCGCTCCCATTTAACACAGCGTTCCACAGACGTCTCATCTGAGGAACTGGGACCCAGTTCATTGCTTTGGCCTCTGGGCCCTCTTTCCTTTGTAAGAAAAGCAAATCGTTGCCACGTTGTTGAGGCAATCCCTTGTTCAGCTCACGACCAAAGCAGACCAAGGAACGCAGCACAAAACAAGCTCCTGCCAAATGGTGCAGCTCGTCTCCTCAAGTTTGCATTCATTCCTGTTGATTCCCAGCCATGTTTTTGCTAGAAGGACTATGGGATTAGGTTTATCATCTTCATCTCCAGTAAATTTCATACTTAATGAAATAGTGCTGACTCTCTCCAGCAAGATGCCCTCAGGCTTACACAGCTGGAACTTTGTCCCTCGTCAGTGGGACATTTCTATTTCCAAGGGTGCTGCTTACTGTAATTCTACTACGAATACCAAAAGTGCTGATGGTTTTCTAAGCAAACCCTTAGATACAGGCAGAGGACGTGCTTGCAATTTCAAGTGCTCACCTCTGGCTTTTGCAAAATTTAGGTGGAAAAAAGACCTGCCACTGCCGTT